GAACCATCTAGCTGCCTCCTAGCACTAAGCACACAGTATGGCTTTAGTAAACACTTGATGATTAAGAGTAGACCAAATATGATCCTTGCCTCCAAGCAAGTGTTCTTTCCATTGTTAAAACATATGTAAGAAAAAGTATATCTTTTATTTCAATACAGCTAACAAATTCTAGAAGAGGATTAAAAATCTCTTATGCAATTTCAAATTCACTGCAGTACCCAGGCTCCTTCACTAGGTGGATCCTTGCCTCCTCATTGGTTCAAAATGTTGGGTTTCACCATTGCAACATGCTGATTAGAAAAGCAAAAAGAAGCAACTGTATCTCTGGATCAAATGTTTTGGAAATTGCCTTCTGTGCCCTTAAGGAGTATTTATGAGAGATTAAGTCACATGATATATTGTTTGGAAAGTACACCGGGTGAGGACAGTCACTTCCCTTTGTTCTCACTGGATACCCATCTTTTATGAAAGTGGAATATTCCCTTTTCTCAGTAGAATAACTTATCTTCTGATTTTTAAAAGTGGATCCAAGTACTTGGGATAACTGCACTCCAAGCCAGTGAAAGGTTCGAGCCAGAATAGTCATGTGGAAAAAAACAAACACAGTGATGACCCCCTTTGATAAAACAAGTTCTTCTCTGAAGACTATTCATCGTCCTGGGAAAACAAAATTCAGCAATGGCTCTTAGGGGCAGGTGGAACTTTCTATTTTCGCTGTATTATGTGACACTCACTAGAGTTACAGAACACGGAGAAACCTGTTTAAAACGCACCCTCCAAACAAGGTTTTTGAATTAAAGAGTCATTTTCCTTGTTTACTCTTCCTTAAATTTTATGATCTCACAAATTCGATAACATTTTATAAACATCACACATTTTTTCTTTCCTAAAGAACACTGCACAGGGATGCTTAGCCAAATGAATTCTGATTCTAAGGCAGATTTTAAATAACCTAATGTTAAAAAAAGTCCCTCTACATGGAACAGTTCAATAACATTCAAATATTGGTGAATATAAAGTTATTTAATGACATGATGCTTCATAATTAAATTTAACAATAGTGATCACTATCAAGAAGGAATTTAGGTTAGTCCTCTGAAGGACACCTCAAAATAAATACTTCCTACATGCCTTAAACCAAAATACAATTAGGTTCCGAAGAACCTGCCCCCTGACATGCTCTTTAAATGTATTTACAGAATGAAAAATGGAGGTGCAGGAGAAGGGAAGGCAGCTAAGGAGAGGGCATGTTTCCAAAGTTTTATATATTATTGGTATGTTTAACTTTCAAATGCAAATGCTTTTCTCTGTTTTCTTCTACTCATTTAAAACTAAACCAAATCACGCATCTACAAGGTCATTGGACAACCATGCTTTCCAGTTCTTATCGCCTTCTCTCCCTTCCCCAGAACAAATCAGGGTTCCCTAAGACCCCCACCCTAATGCCTACCTCATCTTCCTCTAAATGTATGGGTTGGCAGTAAGGAAAATGGATCCCAGGATCACAAAGCCAGAAGGGTCTACTGAATTTAGTTCAACACCTCTTATTTTACAAAGGGGTTAAAAAAAAAGAGAAGTGATTTGCACCCAAATTCACACAATTTTTTGTTGTTGTTCAGTTATTTACTCACATAATTAGTGAGTGGCAAATATTTCTGGATGGCTTACTTGATTGACCAGGCCCCAAAGTCAGGTGGCCTGATTCTCTCAGTCAGCATGGTTTCTCTGTCTCTCTCTCTCTCTCTCTCTCTGTCATTTTTATCATCATTATTTTATCTATCATTTTGAGAACATCAAAACTGAGGAATATTAATCCCTTAAATGTTTGGGGTTGGGGGGAAGCTTTAGAAGGAAAGAGAAGACTCCTGAATTCAACCATGAATTACATGAGAAGTCATAGATTTTAAAACAAATAAAAAAGACAGGGCTCATTTAACCTAATACCCTACAAAAACCAACCAACCAACCAACCAACTCTTCTACGATGACTTTCCATTCATTACACTCCTGATCAAGTTACACACCTACCCCCTCTTCCTTAAATCCTTCCAACTAGGGGCCTTCCACACCACTCAGACTTTGCACTCTAGTGGTAAGAGCACTGGATCTGGAATCAGACCTGGGCCTGGAGCTCTGACACTTAGCAGCTGGGCCACTTAAAAGCTTTCTGGTCACACATGGGCCACTTAAAAGCCTTCTGGTCACACATATCCCACATTGTCTCCTCTGAGCTTTAGCGTCCTCAACTGTGAAATGGAACTACCCAGCTCCCGGAAGGGTTATGGTGAGGAAAGTGCTTTGTAAAATGTAAAACCCTAGCCAAAGGTGTGAAATTAGAATAATGATTAATTCCTTCTCTACTTCCAGATTCCCCTTATAAGCAAGGCTCAATGCCTACAGAACCCTCCTCCACCCAACACCTTCCTTTTCCAGTCACTCATATCCCATTTTCTGTAAGAAGCCTCATTGGATCAGGGTTTCTTCCCTCCTCCCCCATCCTATTCGGGAAGAGACTCCCTTGAATGCTAGGTACATCACCCTACACTATTTTTCCTTTTGTCAAATATTAAATATTTTGTTTTAAAGTTATGTGATTTTTTTTTCCTTTTTTTTTTTTGGTCACACCAGTATACTTTGCTTATTGTCTGAAACAGCACAGATTCTTAGGTAAGATCTTGTGTTTTTTGTGACCTTCTTCCAAGTTATATATACTACCTGTCACTCTAATGAAGCTGAATAATGCCTTTTATAATTATGATGGGAATATTCAGACCATGACATTCTAATGGGATCAGTGGTTAAAACAGGAAAGGACATCAAAAAAAAATGTGGCAGAAGGTAAATGCCAAGAAGTTAATAACATTAGTCCTGAATTAACAGAAATCCAATGATGCTACAAAATTTACCTACCAGAAATGTCACCAAATCCAAGGGAAATAAGGGAATAAGAAGCGTACTGCTCAATGACCACTTTCCTGATCTTTGCTTTATAACCTAAAGTAAAGGTTATAAGACCACGAAAGGAAACATTTGCTTAACTCAATTAAAAAACACTTCCTCAGTGCCTACAACCAACACTTGCTAAAAATAGAGTGAGAAGTAAAGCTTACAATAGGAAGCAGGCCCCAGCCTTCAAAGAACTTACAGTTTGGAACACAATCTTGCTCTAGCCCTCTTCACTTGGCCCCAATCATAGAAAGGACATCCTATAATAATGTCCCCCAAAGTGTCCAAATCAGTCAGATTCAACTTCTTTTATTTTATGACATAAACTGTTGCAGCAGGAGCTTCTGAAGCCCAAGTGCATTGCAGCAGAACTTTCCAGCAATGAATAGGCTCCCTCTGGGGTAGGGGTTGGGAGGCTAGAACGGGGGTGGGGAACCTAGCCTCTGGGTGGGTTCAAGATATCTAGGGAATTTGTATACAGGTTAGTGAGTTGGACTGGGGCCCTCTGGGCTCCAGTCCAACTCTATGATTCCATGAACTTGTAAATCACATTTTTACTTGTCATTTTCCTCCCAAATCATGACAATCATTTTCTCCAATATTTTTATTTATGTCAATTGAGAATATTTCCTGTTTCTCTGCACGCAAATAGCACCACAGTTCAACTTCCCCAGCTTCTTAACTAGTGTGATTATCACATGCTTTGCTCCAAGCACTATTTTTGTGGAGGTAGGAAAAATGACTTGTTGAAAATGTATCTGACTCCACATATCACCATCCAAAGGTGAACACAACAGCATTCCCCCCACTCCTTTCCTTTTAACCGCGTTGGTCTCACACTCTTTACACCCCCATCCAGCACTAAATCTCTATGTACACACACGGTGGAGATAAGCTCCTTGGAAACTAGGACTCCACAGAGCAGACATACAGAGCAGGTATGTAGTAAGTACACGTGTACTCTTTATTTTGTGCAGGTGCCAGTGGAGTCCGTGGAGATGGTATGTGTGTACACACAAGGCATAGTAAATACATGACTCAGCTCTCTGCCCTCTCCTCCCATATCTCTGGACCTGCTTCCAGCACTTAAGACCATCCGGTTGTAATCGTTTCTTTTCTAAGATGGGCAGAGTTGTAGTTCTTAGAGGTGGAAGGACTCCCGATGTGTCCCCGGGCCCCATTCCTCTCCTGCGGCCGGGCACCAGCCATTGTTTATATTGTTTGTACAATCAAGACCGACTCCGGGCTCTCTTCATTGGGCACATGGGAGTTGGTGTGGCACAGTGGTTAGAGCGCTAGCTGTGGAGTTAAAAACAAATGACCTCGCTTCCAATTCCACCTCGGATGTTTATTACCTGGGTGACCTTGGCCCAGGAATTTAGTTGCCTTAGTTTCCTCAAGCGTAAAATGTGGTGTGTGTGTGTGTGTGTGTGTGTGTGTGTGTGTGTGTCTGTGGATAGGGAGGTCTGGGGGTGGGGGGTAAGAACTAGCTGGTCTCTGAATCCTCACCAGCTCTAAAGCTATGAGGTGTGCCTATCTTACGGGCACATGACATCTCAAACGGTCAGATTGGTGAGAAAGATGTTCTAGGTCATAGAGATGGATGCCCTAAACCGGTTGCTCCCCTCAGAATTCGTAAACGAAAAATCACCAATCGACAACATAAATAGTTAATTCTAGGGAAAAGCACTAAGCAGAAAAGAAGCCCCCCGTTTCCTCCCCGCGCCCCAACTCCTACGGCTCTCCACTACCTACCCATCTTCACTCCTGCTAGCCCTACCATATAATGGCACTTTGCTCACCTGCAACCCAGAGCTAAACCCAAGGAGAAAGAAGGGAGGGAGGGAGGCGGGCAGCTGCGCTGAGGATGGGGGGAGAGGAAAACAGTGCAGATGTCACAGAGACCCGAAGGAGGAGATTCTCTCAAAGTGGGGGAGGGCGGGGAGATCCGAGCGGTAAACCCCAGAAAGCTGCCTTCTGCCTAGGTCAGGTCTAGGCCAGCAGCACTTGGCACCTGGTGGGATGGGGAAGAAGGCAGATGGAGGTGAACCAACCTTAAACACCAGGTGAGACGGACGCCTCGATCCTCCTCGCTCGGCAGTCTGCGCGCTCGCTGCGCGCTCGCTCCCCACGGAGGGGACCTTCTTAGGGGGAGGAGCCGGAGGACTTGTTCGTTCCGCCTTTCTCGACCTGCCGCTGCTCCTTCCCAGTCCCAGGGAGCAGCCTCCAGCAAGCGCGATCTCAGGCACCAGGCTCCCAAAGTCCCTCCATCCGCACCGGCCCCCGGGGCGCAGCGAGCTGCCCGAGCGATCCGCACGGGCGGTCCTTCCCCTCGCTCGCGTCCCGGGGAAGGAGGGACGACCTCCACGGAGCCGGGGCGTCGGGGCGTCGGGGCGTCGGGGCACAGCCGCCGCCACTCGGGGCCGCCGGTCCCGAGAACAATGCGCGGAGGCGGACGCGCGGGGAGCGTCCACAAGTCCTGGATGGCACACGGAGCACCAAACCCCGCCGAGGCCAGGCGCGCACGCCCCCGCCCCCTTTCCGGTAGGTTCGCGGCTCGCCCCGCCCCTCCACGCCCCTCGACGGAGCCGGACCAATGGAGGGAGCGTCCCCCCAACACAGACACCGCCCCCCAAACCTGCTGGCCGCTGCCCTGCCCCGGCGTTGGAGCGGGCGGGGAGGCGGCTCCATCCGGGGCGCCGAGGGCTGGGCTGGGCTGGCCGGCCGCTGCGTCCCGAGAGCACCTCCTCTTCTACTCAGTTTGCTGGTGGAGGTGTGCGCTTCCTTCTCCGTGTACCTGCCTCGGGCTGTTTACGCTGACCTGGGTGTACCCGAAAAGCAGCATAGACTCTCGGAGCTGACCTGTTCGACTAGTAATGCAGTATCTGTTACCGTGGCTAGGAACCAAAGGACTGCTTTGCCTGTGACTTTTTCCTTGTGTTAATTTATTTTTTTCATGTAAAAAGTTTTTAAAAATAAATCTGTCCCTCGCAATACCCCCCCCCAACCCTGAACAAATAATAACAATAATGATAATGATAAACCATGCGTTATTTACATAGCATGGCCGAGCAGATTTCCCCATTAGCCGTGTCCGAAAATGTATGACCTTTTCTGCATTTTTTAAAGTTCATCACCTCTCGGTCAGGAGGGGAGTGGTGCGTTTCATTGTCCTTCGTCGGCCTTGATCTGCGCTCTGAAGTGTTTCAAAGTTGTTTTGCTCACCAAGCCATTATCACGGTATACATTGCTCTGGTTGTGCTCACTTCCCTCAGCATTTCAGAAAGGCCGCCTCAGTTTCCTCTGAAATTGGCCATATCATCATTTCCTATGGCCCAATGACATTACATTACCGGTATTTTTCCAAACAAACAAACAAAAATAATTCATTTGGTCCTTAAATTGGGGAGACGATTTGGGATTGAGTACGTCTTTTAAAGGCTAATGCTTTGATCTTAAAAGCTTGGAAAGGTTGGGTTGGGCAAACCATTAATAAACAAAAGCAAAAACCCGCGCTCTCAAAAGACCAGACCCTCTCCCCCTTCTAAATTAGAAAATGAACACAAAAGACGCTGATTAGCATTCTGATTGTTTGGGAAGAGTGTCTTCGTGCTAGACCCCTTCCTTCCCTAAGTCTCACTTTCCCCATTCGCTTTTATTTTGTCTTTGTACCCCCAGAATCCATCACAGTTTCTAGTACCTAATGGGCCTGAAATGCTTCTGATTGATTTGTAACGTGAGAAGGTGGAGTAGGTGGTCTTTAAGGGCCATCTCAACTCTCAATGTAATCTTAAAATGAGGGACAAATGGAGGGAAAATGGGGCAGAGAGATGGACCCCCTAGTTTTTTTTTTTTTTTGGCCTCACCTGTGACTTCATTGGTACAGGGAGTTCCCAATAAGGATACAGCTCTCCACCAATGTAGGTTGGCACTTGCGCGGCAGGTTATAATCTAAGAGTTGCTTGGCACACACAGGCAGGGTGTCAGAGGCCAGGCTAGAAAGCAGGTTTTTCCAATTCCAAGGTCAGCTCTCTATACAGTATACTCATCTTGTATTTATTTTGTGTCCATTTAACATATAAAGTTGTCTCTTCTCTGAGGAACGATTTCATCTGTATCCCCAGAGCCTTGCACTTAGTAGGTGCTTAATCAATTCTTGTTTGACCTGTTGTGTAGATAAGGGTACTTTAGATCTTGTTCAGTCTTAGTGTGTCCCTAAATCCTCCTTCCTAAACTTCCTATTATCTTTGCCTATTTTTCGTCTCTATTTCTTGACTTCTCTCCCTCTTTTTTCCTTTTTTTCTCCCCCCCTTTTTTTGGAGGGAGGGGGAAGGCTGTGGCTTCTTCTGAGTCACTAAGTCAATAAATAAATAAGTCACTTAAATCAATATCACAATTTAAGCCAAGACTAGCCTATGGGGTGGTTCTTGGTTTACTGTTCAGATGCACTTCTTTCTCCAAGCCTAGATAAGCTGTAAAGCAACAGGATGGGAGGCAGGAGTGTCTTAGAAAGAGGACAGGAGTGAGTCAGAAGGCCTGGCTTCTAGGTTTGGTCTCACTACTGAAATCAACTTGCACGAAGACTATAACAGTGTAGAAAGGGAAAGTGGGGGGGCAGGGACAAGGCCAAGCATTTATGAAGCACCTACTATGTTCCAGGCACTGTGCCAATTCCCACTTGATCCTCCAAACAGTCCTGTGAGGTAGGTGAGGAAATGGCCTCGTTTGAAGCCAGGGATCAGTGTTCAGATCTCAGCTCCTCCATTTAATATGTGTGTGTGGCCTTGGGCAAGTCATTTCACTGCTTTCAGACTCAATTTCCTCATCTGTAAAATGGAGTTGAGGGCAGCTAGGTGGCTCAGTGGGTAGAGTGCCAAGCCTGAAATTAGGAAAACTCATCTTCCTGAGTTCAAATCCAGCCTCAGATACTTCCTAGCTGTGTGACCCTGGACAAATCACTTAACCCTTTTTGCCTCAGTTTCCTCATCCATCAAATGAGCTGGAGAAGGAAATGGCAAGCCACTCCAGTATCTTTGCCAAGAAAACCCCAAATGGGGTCACAAAAAGTCCGACATGACTGAACAATGACTGAAAAAAAATGGAATTGGGTGGATTAGACCTCAAATGTTCTTTCTAGGTGTAAATCTGTGATTCTTTAATCTTAAATTACTTAACCTTGATGGCAAGGGTTCATATAGTGGGCAGATTTTACCCACCTGGTGGGCCTGTGAAATTTGAAAAAAAATTACTTATTTATTTTCTTCGGCCTCTACCTGAAATTTAGCATTTCCATCAACTATTTAAAAACATTTTTTCTAAGGGGTCCATAGGATTGAGCAGATTGCCAAAGGAGTCCATGACACAGAAAAGGTTTTGTTGTTGAGGTTTGCCATTAGCTTCTCCAGCTCATTTTACAGATGAGGAAACTGAGGCAAACAGGGTTAAGTGACTTGCCCAGGGTCACACCTAGTAAGTGTCTGAGTCCCAGATTTGAACACAGGTCTTCCTGACTCCAGGTCTGGAGCTTTAACCACCGCTGCCCCACAGAAAAGGTTAACCTGCCCCTTTTCTATGGGCTATAGTTTCCCCATTTGTAAATTGAATTTTTCCTCTAAGAGCCCTTTCAGCTTTAGAATTCTTCAAATCTATAACTTGTTCTAAAAAAAGGAATTTTTAAAAAATCCTTTTCTATCATACTCCTTTCAGTTTCATTTTTTTCTTGTAATTTGACTGACCTAACCACTTGTCTTATAAAAGACAAATAGTTTCACTAAATTCAAGCAAAACAGGCACCGATTGAAACTTGACCAGAACCAAGTTTAAACACAAATATGGGAAGCTTTGCCTATAGGCCCTATTGAAATTAAAAAAAAAAAATTATACTCCCCTAGGTCCCTGGGATCCCTTGAGATTATATGAAACAGTTCAGGGACTGTGTTTTGTCATTCATTAAAGAAATATTTTATAAATTCAGTGTAGTATGTTAGAACAAATAGACATTTCAGTTGTTCAGTTGTGTCCAACTCTCCCTGACTTCATTTGGGATTTTCTTGGCAAAGATACTGGAGTGGTTTGCTATTTCCTTCACCAGTTCATTTTACAGATGAGGAAACTGAGGCAAGCAGGATTAAGTGACTTGTCCAGGGTCACACAGCTAGTAACTCTGAGGCCAGATTTGAACTCAAATTTTCCTGACTGCAGGCCCAGCTCTTTATCCACAGTGCCACCTAGCTGCTCCTCCCCAACCCCGAATTTCAGTATTAATTTTTATTACACAAAAGGATAGATACCCTATTATAAAGCAATGTTCTTTTTACATTGCACAGTGTTTGGCATTGTGTAGATGCTTAATAGATGTTTATTGTCTTACAAAGATTTCACCATCAGAGTGGATGACTTCATTTAAAATCACTTGCTCTTCCATATTTCTCTAAAGCTTGTATTTCAAAAGTAGATCTATTATAGGTCATTAAATTCATACAGGATTTTCCTTCTGAAAAGCTCAGGGGAGAATTAACTGATATGATCTTGTTTTCCCGCAGATGAAAATGTTGGCAAATTAGCTAAGTAATAATGATAGCCCACATTTGAGGACTCGTTTGATGCAACTATTAGCCCATTTTGCAGATTAAGGAAACTGAGGCTAACAATTTGGCCTAGGTCATATAGAAAATAAGTGTCCAAGTTGGGATTAGAATTTAGATTTTTCAAATTTCAAATCCAACCCTTCAGGCGCTACACCACTCAGCTGGCTGCTGCTTTTTAGTTCCAAACATGGGGACACTCATTCTTTCATTTGGTTTTATAATATGGCTATGAGGTAGATAGGACAGGAAAAAAAGATGATATATTTTTATCTCCGTTTTATAAAGAGAGAAACCTACCTACATGCCATAAAGTGGGTCAGTCCAGGTTGAAACCCCGAGTCTTCTGACGTTTACTCATTCCAACTTCAGACTAGGTCAATACTTTATAACTAATGTTATAAAACCATACCTCTCACATTTCTTTAAGATGGCAGAGTATCTTTTAAAACAAAAGCATAAAGTATTTTCTGACTTTTAAAGGTGAATGTGACAATGTGATTGAATGTCATAAAAGTTACTTAATATAAAGTTAAATGAAAGTCATGGATTATAGTCACTTAATTTTCTACATATTATTGTGGAATTGTCTTTATTTAACTGCACACGGTCCTGCAAGTAACCTCCCAGAAATTCATCCATTCATAGTCAATAAATGTTGATTAAGCACCTACTATGTGCCAGGCTCTGTGCTAAGTACTGGGGATACCAAAAGAGACAAATGACAATCCCTGACCA